AAAGCTTTAGCCGAAGCTTTTGCAAAAGGATTGTGTATGAAATGATAACGAATACAGTAAATTTATGTAAACGAAATTTATATAAATTGATAATGTGCAAAATAATGACATGCATTTATGTGTTTATCTTAACTGAGTCCTTATGCAATTTGCAAAGGATACCTGATACATTTCCTGTATATTATTTTGTCTTAGCTTTTACAAGTTTTCTTGAAGAAGCTTTTGCCAATTTCTGTTGAATTTCTTGAGATTGTTTATCAAGTTAAACTATTTACCGTTCTTAGCTTATGCATATTCCAATCACATTCAACTTGTACTAATAACTTATTGTTATTATTTTTTTTATCTCGAAGCAAGTTTAATTTAATTTTTTTTTATTACTCCTATTTTTTTAAAATACTTTTTGCCATGTGACTTCAGTTGATCTGAGCCAGCATATTTTTTTTTTTTTTTTTTTTTTTTTTTTTTTTTTTTTTTTTTAGCAAAAGTTCTCACGAAAACAAGTCAAATTTCTGCTAAACAGGTGTTTGTTTTAAACCCACTTGTGTAAAATGTCGCATACGGCAGACTTCATAATATTTGAGGCGTTGAAAATAAAGCCTTATTTACTTCAAAGTCTATTTACCAGTGCCGTCGACAGTAATCTATTTAAGAGAACTTTTTTATCCTAGCTCTAAAGATACTAAAGATTGAATATTTGTATTTGATTTTCGATTGATCCGTGGAGGTTAACAGTTAACTATTTGCATTATGTATAGCCTCTAAGGGCAAAATAGTATTATACAAAATTTTGCAAATTAAAAAAGTGAGAAAAAAAATGGATAGCAATATATTTAATGTGTATTTGCATAGAATAAATGTTTTAGAATATTTTGTTGGTCGTTATGCGAAGCATTGTTGATTAAGCGAAACTTATTCGAGGCATTCGTTAACCGAGAGTCCACTGTATATGGCTTCTACGACGTTTATATTATAGATAACCAGTCTGTCAGTCGATGGTTTACACATGATTTGCGCCCTTTAAATTATTAAAAGAACATTTGCGCTATCTCCCTAACTCTCTCTCTCTCTCTCTCTCTTTCTCTCTCTAAGTATATTTTCCTATCTCACTCATCTAATTTTCACTTTCTTTTGCAGTTAACGGAGCTGGAACAACGCGTCATCGAAGCGGAAGAGCGCGCCGAGGAAGCTGAAGATAAGGTAAGTCATTAAATGACTGACTGTGGGCAAAGCGCCCACACCCAGTCGTCTACACAAAAGGGGATGGGGGGAGGTGGATATTAAAACAAGGGTAGCATCCTAGACTAGACAACATCCAGGCAACAGACAACAGACACCAGACAGCAGCAACAGCAGCATCAGCAGCATCAGCAGCCGTGCCTCATTAGAGGCCAGTTTAAAGCATTTACATGACAATGCGACCATCCTAGCCGAGGGTCACAGCTGCTGTGATACCCTGTGCTGTGCTGCTGGCAATGGTCGGGTATATTGGCTGCCTCTATTCATTATGTTTTCCTATGGATACTCGTATGTGCATCCATATATGGGCATGTCTTGCACATGGTTGTTCGTGAAGTCTATTTTCTTAGTCTTTTACAGTTTTAGAGTTACAGTTTTAGTTTGGTAATTTTTGGATCGCAGCAATCAAATTAGTTACAGATGATCAACTTCATGAAAGGATTGTTTGCCTTTAAACGTGTTTTCTCTATTGCTAACAGTGTTGAGATTTACAATTTTGTGTTCAAACTGCTCAAGAGCTTTGAAAGTGCAGCTGATGAATTATGCATGTGCTATTTACTCACCTCTGCCCCACTCGCATACAATTTGAAAGTCACTGAACAGTAACAGTTTTAAAGTCACAGTGTTGTAAAATGACAACTAAAGCTTCTTAAACTATAAGCTGCCAATTTCGTTTCATAATTTCACACACATTTCGAGTCGCTGCAGTTTGAGAGTCACAATTGGCAGATTAACGACTTTTTTTTAAAGATGTCACCATGCAGACTCAAATACGTTTGTATTGTACGTAACAGGGTATCCGGGGTCGAGCTTCAGCTTCTTTATTGGGTTGTGCGTGTTTTAGCTGGCTGCAGCTTGTTTTCGTCGGGGAGAGCGGTCCAGAGGGTCCAGAGCCAGTGGCCCGCGGACAGACAACGCCACAAACTTTTGTCACATGCGGGCAAACAAGGAACCAACTAAACCCAAACGAACCGACCAAACACAATGCCGGACAACAAGCCAAGCAACAAAACGTTGGCGCCAACTGTCCCCCAGACGCGGCTCGGACAATACATAAATCGACTTCCGCTCCGGAAACCGGAAATTCACATTAATGCAGCGCTGCGTGCGCTGTTCCCTAGCCCAGCCCCCCAAACCCCCCCAAACCCCCCTCTCACTCCCGCTCTGGCTTTGGCATTTCATTGAAGTTCGTGTTGTTGCATGTGTTGCTGAGCTTTGGCAAGCATCTCCCCATGGCACACACACACGCACACACCCCTACACACCCCCGCCCAGCTCTCAGTCTCAGAAACTACCCCAAATGAATGCGAGTGCGAGCTCAGCTCGACGCGTTTTCAATATCAAATGCGCATTGTTTGCACTAACAAGTCTCGAGGGGTTTTGGGCTTTACCTACGCAATCTCTCCAGCACCCACCCCGCCCACTCCCTGAAGCACTCGTCAAAGAGCAGGCGAAATGCAAATATTTTCCAAGTTCCAGGGCAGGTTTATCTGTCGTTTACGGCTGGCTCAACCTGGCCAAAGCGAACCCTGTCGGAAGACCAAACACACTCCGCCCCCGCCATCCCCAGCCCCGTCCGCAGGCTTGGCTTTGGCTATAGCCTCATCGTTATCGTTTGCCAACCACTGTGACAAATTGAATTCTTGTTACTTTGTTTGCGCCGAGATTAAATTCATGAGCAAACACGTGGATGTTAACTAGCACCGGCTGCCCGTGGCTGCTGCTGATGGTAGGGGCACAGCCGCATAGCCCTGATTCCGGCTGCTGTTGAAGCCAAAAGGGGTTGCAACCCTTCGCTGTGACAGGCTTTAACAGGCTGTCAGAACCGTTTAAGCCGCGGCCCGAACAACGCGCTAACAGCCTGCTTACTTATGCTTCAATTAGCCATGCCCTCACACTCATTACGAACTATTAGCCATGACTCGCGACTAACGAGCTTTTTATGCTCGCTCGCTGAGTGGGATGGGAGTGAGTATATTGGCTTCCTCGAGTGCTCGTCTCTGTCTGCATTCTATTGAAGACGGGGGAATATGTAGTTGATATTACTATATGTTGATACCCATATATGTATTCCCCCAAAGAGCGCGGGGAACATCAAGTCTCTTCTTCCACAAATACACTTTTATATAGGAGTATTTATTAGGAAGTCGGAAAAATTGAGGAGAGGGTTCTTGAATTGAATTCAATTTAGTAAAATACTCATAAAATATATACGGAGACTTCTATTTTAAAAGTCTAACAAAATTCGACTTTAAATAATCCAAAGTGATTCTAAGCTCTTAACCCCACCCATCCGAACAAGCGCATCATGTTCCAGTTTCAAATTCCTCAATAAGCATCTCTTTTCTTTACCATCATTCTGCTCCATTCGGAATTCCAATTCCAAGTGCAACTATAAAGGCAAAGGCTCACAAATTTAATTAAATTTAGTGTAGTACTTCAACCATTTAAAGACTTTTATTTCAAGGAGTCTTGCTCTGAAGCTCATCTAATGTAATCCAAACTGATTCTAAGCTAAGAGCTTACCTTACTCTTAGTCCTATCTAAGTAAAAGCAACATGTTTCACTTTCAAATGTCTCAAGCATAACCCCATCTCTTCATATTACTCTATTGAGTACTCTATGTCCGAGTTCAGCTTGTTATTATGTGAGGGGTTGACAAATTTAATTAAATTTAGTATAGTGCTTCAACCATTTAAGGACTTTTATTTCAAGAGCCGTTCTCTGAAACTCATCTAAGGTAATTTTACTTAAACTAATCCAAACTGATTCTAAGCTAATAGCTTAGCTTACTTCTCGGCTCATCTCTTCATGTTACTCCATTGGGAACTCTCTGTCCGAGTTCAACTAGCTATTAAGGAAAGGGTTCTTAAATTGAGTTAAATTTAGTATAATAGTCAACCTATTTGAAGACTTATGTCTTAATATATCATCATCATCTTCTATCAATTATCCACGATAGTTCTATTTATATCAATCTAACCTCCAAGTTCTTAGCCATACAATTCTCTTAGTGCTATCAAAAGAAATGCAACATGTTTCACTTTCCAATACCTCAGCTCAAATCTCCCCCCTTCACCCTCCATTCCCGTACACTTTCGCCTTCTTCTCGCACCTTTTGTCGTATGCATCGAAATAAATTATGCATTGGCAAGCGAGCATATTAGCATAACACATGCATGAATATGCCCCAACGCGGGGCAATTAGACACTTGCCCTTGAGTGAGTGTGCGGCAGGCAGCAGGTATGTAGGGATGTGCAGGTGCTGGGGCCGGGGCCGGGGGTGGTGGCAGTCTTTAAAATGCATTTAAAGTTGCTTCGATTTGCGCTGCATACGCGTAGGCGCACATGGCACACATTGGACAGTGTTGAACAACGCGGGCGTTGCGACCAAAACACAATGAATGGCGCGCGCGTGCGTGCGTATGGCAAACAAAACAAAAACGCAAATTGCATGTCAAACAGTGCAGCCGCACAGTGCCGCTCAAACTGTAAGCGTAATTTTGGTGGTGGCTTCGCCTCGAGCTTGACAGCAGCTGCCACAGAGAGAGAGAAAGAGAGAGCGAGCTAGTGAGAGCAACTGGCAGAGAAGAGAGCGCACTGCGAGCGAGAGTGTGTGTGTGTGCGTGTGTGTGTAATTGTTTTTTATGACTGCAATCAAGCAACATTTTGTCGAGCGACTGCAGCGAGAGTTTTATCCTTTCGGCAGCGACTTTGTAGTTGCCAGCTGTATGCAGAGGGCAGCACAGTGCAGCCTATCGAGCGTGGAGAGCAGGAGGGAAGGAGAGCGGTGAGGCGGTGAGCGGGCATCAACGGAGGCGTCGTCAGGAATCAAAAGAAAGCCAAAAGTGAAACAACCACCGAAAAAAAAGCTGACTGACTGACTGACTGAGAGAACGTGAACGTAAACGTGAGCAAGAACGAGAACGAGACCGAGCACGAGAATGAGAACGAATGCACGAAAGCAAGCGGCCCACTAAAGCAGCGTAACAAAGAGCACAGCGCAAAAGTTGTGCAAAAGAAGACTTGTAGCTGCTCCGACGCTGCTGCACAGGCTGTGTTTTATTATTTTCCGTTCCATTTGTTTAAACAATTTTACACAAGTGGCTGCCACAGGGCGCATTAACAAGCAGCGGCAATTGCAACAACAATATCAACTACAGCAACAACAATATCAACCGAAACGGCGGCTGTATAACAAAAAAATAGAAAAAAAAGGAAGTGAGAAATATTTGGTGCATAGCAAAAGGCGCGCGGGGTGGCAACAAACGGCCCAAATACATAACTGTTCATAACTGAGTGGCAACTCCAAGGCAAAAAAAAAAAGAATTAACAAAACCAAAGAACCAAAATTAATATATATAGCATTTGGCTGAAGTGAGTGAAAAGTGTTCAATAAAATCGAAAATACAACTTAACATTGATAAATGCATACATGCATATGTGTGTATATATGTGAGTGCATGTGTGTGTGTGCGATGACAGCCAAATGTGCTAAATGTTGTAAATTATAGGCCAAATTTTGCATTGCGCAAAAATATACACAAACACACACAGACACACAGACACTCACACACACACAAAGCGGCCATTCACATCTACAACGTGCATGTGCGTGTGTGTGTGTGCTGGTGTGTGCGTGCGAGCGAGTGAGTGCCACCCTACGCTGTGTATTGGCGCGCGAGGCCAAGAAAGTGAGAGAGAGAGAGAGAGAGGCAACCAGAGAGAGGGGGAGAGCAGCCAGAGCGAATGCAGGAAGAGAGCGCGCCTGCTGGACGTCGTGAGAGCGCGCGCACATGTCAATGACAGACAGCTGACTGGCGGAGCTACAAAACGAAAATGAAAATAATCATAAAGGCGAAAAACGAAGCAAATAGGAAGAGCAGCACATAGCAAAGGAGACAACAATAAAAAAAGCGTAAATGTAAATTGTGCATAAACTATAAAAAAGAAGATAAACACGACAAATAATTGGGGCACAGGAGAGCAGCGAGCACAGAGCTGGGATAAAGGACAGCAACAACAATAGCAACAACAACAGCAACAACGAACGCATGCATCTAAAACACACGCAAACATATCAAAATAGACACACATACGCAGGAAACGTCCATTTACAACAACACAAACATACATAGGCTGATAATAGAGAATTAATTACAATAAGAAACGAACAACGAAGAAGCTACCGCAACATCAACAACAACAACAAAGGCAAAGGCTAAGGCAAAGGCAAAGCGGAACTGTCTGCCTGACTGTCGCTTGCACGCTGGCTGCTGCCGCTGCTGCTGCTGCTGCTGTTGCTCTCAGCGTTGCCAGCAGCAGCGCTCATCGCTTTCGGGCATTGCCAGACTCGAATGCCGCTACAGCTGCAGCAAGCGCCACAATAACAACAGCAACAGAAACTGCAACAGCAACTGCAATTACAACTACTCTAGCTACAACTACAATTGGAATTACAGTTACAACTACGGCGAATTCGCTATTAACCCATAGGCTGAGCAGTGTCATAAAATGTTGCTCTGCCGCCGCGTGGCTGCAAAGCGTCGCCGGTGTTGCGTTTGCTGCCGCCACAAACAAAGAAAATGTGTCCAGCGGCAGCTCCACTAGCTGCAGCATCCAGTTAGCCAAGCCCCCAACCTTCCGCCCACCCGCTTTGGCAACCAACGAATAACACAATAAAAACAATAACAACATCAACAACAACAACGATTAAAAGACTTCAAAACGTGCAACGAACCAGTTTTCTGAATGGATAACTACAGAAAGAAGGTAAGCAACTCGATTTACAGGCATCTCTATATAACTGGAGCTCTGAGTAAAACCGTCAACTTAAAATCTCTAAATACATATGTATGCAAAAACATAGATTGAAGGCATATTGTTGAGTTATGTGTGCATATTATATAGCTCATCTTATATTGCATTTCAACACATCTAGATCAACTTTAATTGAATATTAAGCTGCAAGGAGAGAAGTCAAAACCAGTTATATCTGCTTATGAGCAGCTAAGTTTAGAATGATATATTATTGAAACTCAAGATTTCTGGTTCTTGTAATTACAGTATTACCTCCCTAACTGATTCAATTAAAGTTTAGGTAAGTAGATACAATTTAGGATTTTGACCTTAGAGATCTACAGTATTATACCCCCGCTAATATGTTGAGTTTCAATAATATATCATTCTAAACTTAGCTTGAATTGATTATTTTTCAGTTATCTGGGTAGAGCTTTCCACTAGTTGTATGTGTTTTTATACTAGACGGGTAATGCTGTAGTTCCTAAAACTGGAATTCGTAAATTTCATTATACATATATATATACATATATTTTCCTCCGATCAACTTGAATCGGCTATGCAGATTGTCACAGTTCATCAACTATCGCCTATATATTTCCATCTACACCCAATAATTATAGAAATAATTTAGCTATATTACTACATAGAAGAAGAAGAGTGTGTCTCATCGGATCAGCTATAATTAGCGCAGATCCTAAAACCAAATGACTTTCAAAACATATTCAAAATTCTTGATGCTCTGCTTTGAGCATGTCTAGAACTCGATTGGGCAACATCCGCCCACCTGACTGCGACTACCTATGCGTTGCATAAACTGACATGCAGCACTGCTGTTTGGCCCTCCTGCTTTCTCCCTCTTTCTCTCTTTCTTTCTGTGAAGAAAACCGCATAACAAATTTATATTAATTTTATGAATCTTACATATGAGTTGCCTAAAATTAGAGCTGCCTGCCATATATCTCTTCAAAATGTATATATGTATCTCCTCTCTCTCCCTCTCTCTCTATCTCTATATATATCGAAATTTATGTCGCATTTCAAAATCGCTCAGCCGTGAGGCGCATAATTTATGACTTGCCTCCAATCGTGTGCCCCTTTCACCCCTTTCACCCCCTTCAGCGCCACTCAACATCTTCTATTTGCCTGCTAATGAAATTCAATTAAAAATTTCGCATTTTGTATTTGAACTTTTAACCTTTTCGCCGGGCAGGGGAAGAGGGAATTGGGTCAATCTGTTGATGGGATTTTTCAATTATTTAGCCACTTATCTGTGCGTCGTCATCTCTTGCTTTGTTATTGCAGCACCCCTGTCCTGCCCCAACCCTCCCCGCTGCCCCCAGCTGCTTGTGTGGCACAAACACTGCAAAATCAATTAGCGTTCAACGTGGGCGCCACAACAGCAACAGCAACAGCAACAGCAACGGCAGCCAGTTGCTGCGCGTTGATTGATTGCCTCTGCCTGACGATTGAATGCAGCCGCTTTCCAGTTGCATTCGCTGCTTGGACACGTGCCAATCTCTGGAGATGCCTCCAAGTGCAGCTCTCGCCACTTGCTCTCTATCTCGCTCACTCACTCGCCATACCTCTCCACCGCTCTCCCCCGTAACAACAAATCTCTTCGCCTCTCCATCTCCCCATCTCTCCACACAATTGGCCTCACTTCAAAACAGTGGCCATTTATCTCTTAGTAAACAAAGCGCACAGATGATTAGACTGAGACTAAGACACAGGCAGAGACAGAGCCAGAGCCAGACCCAGAGACAGGGACAGGGACAGACGGACAGCTACATGCAGTTACAGTTATGCGAGTGCGAGTTATGCTTGGCACCGTCTCTACTGAGCTGCTGCTGCTGCTGGCTCTTCCTGCTATGTGGGCCAATCGCTGATTGCATTTGCCGTTCGACGACGTTCGAATCGACTTGAGTCGACTCACTAATGCAGTCGAACTTGGCTTTCAGTTGCCCTATCCATTTCTGAAGAGGTTTGACAAACGCAGGCAATGTGACGCGAGTAGGAAATGTATAATACATACATACATATGAAATATAAGAATAATAAAAAAATATATAAATAAAAATTTTGTATAATTGTCTAAAAGCCAAAGAAAATATGCAACAAAAAACATATAAATATAATAATAATAATATTGATAATTAAATTATATATGAATATATATATACCTTGTATATATTATTTTGCAATAAAATTATTATAAATATACCAATGTTAAATAATTTGGCAAATAAATACTATTTGAAAATATATACATTTTATACGAATAATATGTTTATCAAAATCCCTTTGTGCTATAAATAATATATTAAATACAAGAATAATGAATGAATACATACATTTATTATATGAATTTATATAAATATGTGTATGATTGCTTAAAGAGAAAGAATATTTTATTAATATGCTAAATTGCAAAATATGTGGATTATGAGAATTATATATAAATATATGTATTTTTAATGAAATATACATAAAAAACACATGCACATGAAGCCAATTTGGATAAAATTAATATTGATGAAATTTAATATATATATATATAGTAATTCTTCTAGCAATATGCTCATCGTATAGAATTTACATTATGTGGTAAAGATTAAACTTATTTGCCAATGTCTCTAGGGCTCTAGGGTATTCATAGGCGACATTGATCCATTCAATTTCCCGTTCTCGTTTTGTTTTTTCTTCACAATGATTATGCACAAAAGTTCATAGAATAAAGAGAAAAGCCAAGCGCGTTGGTGTTTGCCTCTTTTTGCTGTTGTTGTTTATTGTTGCTTCAGTTGAATTAATGATGCATGCATCCGTCATCAGAGTGCAGTGCAGACGATGACGTTGACGTTGACGTTGATGTTGACGTTGACGTTGGCGCTGGCGCTGACGTCGACAGAGACGTCGACAATGCTGGCGGCGCCACTTTCGCTTGAAGCCGCCTCCGCTGCGGCCGCCCACTCGCAGTTGGGACTGCGCTGCCGCGGCTGTTGCACATTTGAAAAATGTAATGCGTTTTATGCGTTGCATTTTGTCTCTCTCTCTCTCTCTCTCTCTCGCTCTGTCTCTCTTTTACTTGGGCTGTCTCTGTCTCTCTCGATATAAGTGGACTTTTTGTTGTTGGTTTTTTCTTTATTTAAAAGTCATCAGCGAGCCGACGACGACATCATTTGGCGCGCCACAGTGCGCTTTGTTGGCTCCGCTCTGCATTAATATGCATTTAAAAATAGCGCCCCATAGCGCTCCATGCAACAGTTGCCGCATGTGAATGATGTGCCGCGGCGCTCTGGCAGATACTTAGATGCAGCCCGCTTCTGAGTTATGGCCAAGATGCGTTATTCCATAGCCAAATATGAATTTAAGCAGTTAGTTATCGGAAAGCAACTGCACGTCAGCAGCTGCGCGACAGCAGCAGGAGCAGCGGTAGAGGCCGGTAGAGGCAACAGCATGAGTAGCAGCAGCGCGACGCAAGTGGCTCTTGTGGCAGCCTTAGCGCTAGGGGTAGCCTGTAATTTTGGCTGCCAGCCAGTCTAGTCGGGGCGTATCACACTTAGACGCTCATGCAGAGGATGTGCTTTGACTTGCTCAATACCCTTTTTCCAAATGCCGTTTTCATTGGCTTTTCCATTTGAGTGGAAAACTGGTGAAGTGGCGAATATGCATCGTATTCAAAGGATAAAAATGCCGCACCCTAAATATATATAAATTGGAATTTATTATATACATTGTATACTTGAATTTGGTTCAAGTTTTATACTAAAAATTCAAGAGCTCATTGACCTCTTATACATTTTAGATATTGTATTAACGAAAACTTACAAGTTTTTAAAATGAGCAACGTAACGACATTAAATTTATATATGAATATATGTATATGAATCTTACTATATTAATATGTTAAAATTTCTGCATTACATGCATGCAATAAATTAATATGAAATATTAGTTAGTGTATTGCAATTTCGACTGCTTAAACATTTATTATGCCCACGTTGACTTTGTTTTTATGGTTTCTGTTGTTGTTGTTGTTCTGTGTTGCTGCTGCTGCTTGTTGTTTGTTGTTGGACGCGTCTAGCCAATAATCTTCATGCTGGCTGGCGCTCTGATGGATGTCGAGGACGACAATGAAACTGAGTCATCTCGCAGCTCATATGGCGCCCAGCAGCAGCAGCAACAGCAGCAACAGCAGCAACAGCAGCAACAGCAGCATCAGCCAGCCAGCCGGCTACTGTTTTGTTGTTTTTTAATCAGGCAAATTGTTGACACCAACCGCAAACAATCAGCTAAAGAGCTTCCAGTGGCACATGCTACATGGAGATGGACATGCATATATTTTATGCTCGGAGCCAGCTTTAAGGGAGCCACAATATTTGGCTAACGGCAAACCTCTCTAGTGAAGTGGGAGAGAGAGAAAGGGAGAGAGAGAGTGTGAGAGGGTGAGGAACAGGAGGAGGGGGAGTGAGTGAGATAAATTGTGCGGTGGAGCTGCTGTTCTCAATGTTGTTCCGACACATAATCTGACAACTGACATGCATCTAAGCCACCACCCGTACCACCCGCACCACCCGCACCGCCCGTGACTCCACATTTTCCTCCTGCTGCCACGCATCAGTCTATTTGATTCTGTTTCGCACATGACACGCACTTTTGGCCGGAAGGATGGCAGAGTGACTGATGTTTGGTCTGCTCTCGTGCTCAGCTCAAGGAACTCCAAAACTTGGCGAATGTCATTGACACCAGTTGGAAGCAAAGGAAGCCACAAACTGCTCAATTCTCGTATACCCCGTGTAGCATAGGGATTCTCTCGATCGATTGTGTCTATTTGAGAGAATTATCTATAAATATTAGCTATTATATTATTATTACTATAAAGCAGTTCAGATGAGCTTTAAGGGATGTCCTTTAAAGGCTTTCAGAGCTAGCGTTAGCTATGTCATTTCTGCGTGAGTCATTTTCAAATGAAA